AAAAAAACCTGCTGCTCTGTCCTTATCTTACAAAGTTACATTCAGCTTGATTGGATTAATGAATTAAGGAATAATAGGTCTCCAATGTGATTTACATCAATTGATTAAATGTCAGCTTTGAAAAGCTGTGGGTTAAATTATGGCGGGCATACAGAATAAAGCCAAGGAGGTTGCAACCTTATTTAAAACCACTATTTATCAATCCTCAGTGCAATTTGTAGCTTAGTTTGTTGCATTTAATGCTTGGAAAAATACTGCTAAACGATTTTTTTTTTTAAATGTTGATTTTCTTTTTACTGCTGTTTTGAGCCTACTAGGAAGTGCTACACGAATTCACCTGCCTCCCACAAGGCTGGCATGCCCCATGCCATCTCGGGAAACTCAATTGAATATGTAATATGTGTCTCGTCTTTGCAGGAAAATTGAAAAAGCGGACGCTGAGGCAGAGTCACAAATGTAACAGCAATTTCCAGGATATTGGATAGAATATTAGCACCAGCCCAAACACAATTGGCCAAATGGCCAGCTCCTGCGCTGTGAAGCTCTTTGAAATGTGATAAGGTGCTATATAATAACAATAATAATCCTTGCATTCGACTTCGCACCTTATCGCGTCTTCGAGACGTCTCAAAGCGCTTCACGGAATATCCTGTAAAGTGAATTGACTGTATATTTTGTGGGTTAAACGTAGCAGCCAATTGCGCACAGCAGTGTATCATAATAGTTGTGGATTGAGTGACCACATTTTTTTCTGAAGCAGTTATTGCCCCAGGAGAGCGATGCGCAAATCGACAAACTTACTTACTTACTGCTAGGAAAACAGAGGCGCGTGGAGTAAGGAAACTTGGGTAAAGTTTCACTCTGCCCAGGAATCGAACCCGGGTCCTTTTGCTTGCATGGTGGGAAGTGCCTATGTTTGTGTCCCCGGTGGAAAAGGAAGGGGTTGAGTAAAGGCGCAGTTGAAAAATGACACAAAGGTGCTATTTCTTTCGTCTCCAGCAAACAAACTTCCATTATTTCTCTCGTGCTTTTGTTTTGAAACCACATCGGGAAAGTATTTAAGAAAGGAACAAATGACATGGAAGCAACGAACACATAAATATGAGGATTCACTTAACAGGAAATAAACCAGGAAATACCCTGATAGATCTGCTCACTGACACAAGTTGTTCTTATTTTGCTGTTAAAGGGCACCTGTAGGCAGAATTTCCATTTGGGTCTAGATTTAAAATGCTCTGAGACGATATCCTATGTGAATTTAGCAGCATAAATGCAACTAGTTTATATAATAATAATCCTTGCATTTGATATAGCGTCTCATCACGTCTGTGAGACGTCTGAAAGTGCTTCACAGAATATACTGTAAAGCGTATTGACTGTATGTATGCCTCGTGAGCGAAAATATAACTGTTGGGCTGTGTTCACGCGGTATTTCAGAGCGTCCAGAATTTGGCAATTTGTTGAATTGAGTTTTAACTTCAAAGTAGGTTTTCTGTAGTTTTTAAAGAGAAACCTCAAAAGGGAAATGGCTTCAAATTTCCGGCTCCGTTTAAGGATTTGCCAAATTTTGCAAATTCTGAAAGTTGAGTAAAATCTGGACCCAGGTGGAATCTTTCCCATCCGCTGAGCTGTTTTAGTGGCTTCTCGTCAGGGTCCAACAAGCTACTAGCTCCCAGGATTAATAGTCGTCATCGCAAAAGCATTGAACGTGATCTGCATAAATCTGTGTGGCAGCTTCGCGCAACCCTGAGCGAATTAAGTCCAATGAAAAAATAATATCAGATCGAGACCTGGTTAAATGCATTTTGTTCCGAACATTTCAGCTCAGGGTTACTGTAACGTGGAGAGGTTTGCAAGAGGCGAGGATTAGAGCGACTGTCGTTTCCAGTACAGACAGCCTCTTCCTCTGGCTGCGTGTGAGATTCCTATTGCTAGTTAAAATTGCCAGTTTGTGTAAAATTGGACAGAAGGTAAGAGTATTTGTGAGGCACAGATATGTCACTTGCAGCAGGAGATAATATTGTAGTTTTACTGATTTGTTGTGAACATATGGCATATGGCATGGGCCTTCAGGTATGTTTAGTCACTCGGGATCTGAATGCATCATATAAACACAATTTTAGGTAAATAGTATTGCAACATAATACTCGGCTGAAGCTAAATACACATAACGGGAACAGCTGTTCCTGGGTCACATTACTCTCCTACATCCTTTTACACATTCTCAAATTCAGGCCGTAAACACCTATTTCGCAAAGACAAATCTTACCCAAATCCTCGGCAGAGATTTCAATGATTTCACCTCCAGCGGGAGATAATATTACGTTTCGGAATCCTGTAGCGTATTGGTTGGTTAGAGCATTGGTATTGCAGGCGAGAGGACATGGGTTCGATTCCCGGGCAGGGTGGAAAACCTTAGCAAGTTTCCTTTACTCCACGCGCCTCTGTTTACCAGCAGTAAGTAGGAACCCGGTAGTTAGTCGATTGGTGGTTCGCTTTCCGGGGGTAATAATCCCTTTAAAACAAATGTAGTCACTCACTCCCCGACTGTTTGTGGGACACTGCTGTGCGCGATTGGCTGCCGTGTTTTGCTCACGCAATGCACAGTTGATTCATTTCACAGGATAGTCATCGAAGCTCTTCGAGACGTCTCGAAGACATGATAAGGCGCTATATCAAATGCAAGGATTATTATTATTATCATTAAATAAATAAAGTGCTTATAACCTTGCAGTAATGGAAACCTGTTTTACGACACTCATTTCTTCAGCTGCTTTCACGTACAAGTTTCACGTTCCTTTCAGTGCTTCGAGACGTTAATTCTGCATGAAGGGCAATGCAAAGGCAAGTTGTTTTTTTATGCAAGGGCAGCATAACAACAACAACAACTTTCCAGGACAGTTATTCTCCCTGTTCTGCCGGTGTCCTGGCCAACAATCCCCCAAATCAAATTGGTCATTCACTCCATGGTTGTTTGTGGAACATTATTGTGAGTAAATTGGCTGACACGTTCACTTGCAAGATACACAGTCACTAAAGCCACAACAATATCCTGTGAAGAGATTTTAAAAAATGCCCCTGACATAAAAAACACGATGTATCAAATGTAGGTATTATTATTATTTTACTAAGTTTGGGCTAATCTACCAAGCAAGGTAATGGATTGGAAATGTGGTATGCATAATAATAATAATCATAATAATAATAATACTAATAATCCTTGCATTTGATACAGCGCCTTATCACGTCTTATCAACGTCTCAAAGCGCTTCACAGAATAAATCGTAAAGTGAATTAAATGGCAAAACGCGGCAGCCAATCGCGCACAACAGTGTCCGACAAACAGTCGTGGATTGAAGTGACCAATTTATTATTATTTTTGAAGGAATTATTACCTGCGGAAAAATGATCCGCCAGTCGACGAACAACCGGGCTCCTACTTCCTGGTAGGTAAACAGAGGCGTGTGGAGTAAGGAAACTTGCCCAACATTTCGTCCTGCCCGGGAATCAAACCCAGGTCTCTCACTTGCGAGGCGAGTGCTCTAACCACTGAGCTACAGGACTTCATATCAAGACGTTCCAAGTGTGAAACAAGAAGTCTGAGACCTGGTGAAGTAGCACCTGCTCTAAGTTACAATTGCCAACCAATTTCTGTTTTTTTATTGAATTTATTCTCCTGTTTATTGAAATCACATTGGAAGTTAATAGGAAATGATTTTGCTTTGAGACAATTGTCAATTCCGAACTGGGTTATCAGTCTTTTCGGTGCTCCCAGTGTCACTGTAAGACTTGCTCCTTATTGCGCTTATTTGCTGATGTGAAATATTGATGACATTGGTTGGAAGGATTGACCAATGCAGGCATTTTATTAACTAGTTTATTGACCTTACCTGAATGCTCTGGAAGCAGTGAGAAAATGAGAGAGATATCAGGGCCTGGCCGGTAATGATTTATTCAGGGAAGGTTTCTTTGTGTGCTGTGTGTGATGGGGTTATCTTAAATGCATGATAGCTTTTGCGGCCAGTTCATGCCAGAGGAAATCTTCAGACGGGGTTGAATAAAGGTACATTCGTGCGATTTAACACAGACTCATCCGGTCCTTTTGACGAATGCAGATCAGTAGTTTCAACAAATGCTGTTTTGGTGTCTTGACTAACTGACAATCCCTCAAAAAATAAAATCTGTCCTTCATTTCACGGACATTTTGTGGGACATTGCTGTGTGCAAATTGGCTGTTGTGTTCGCCTGCAAAATAGAGTCATTACACTTAATAGTATTTTGTGTGAAGCACTTTGAGGTGTCCTCCTGAAGTGAATTGTAATTATTATTATTACTATTATTATTATTATTATTATTATTATTATTTACTTCTGGCTTTAAGTGTTTTGTTCCTGCTGAAGTGATGCTGAAGCTTATCGCCATTGTTTCCAACCAAAATATGTTGCACCCCAATGCTGACTTTGCTTTATATCACCGCAAACACTGAGGATTTTTGTTTAATTTCCAGTGTTGGATGGAGTGTTGCATTGGGCTATAAGGAAATCATTAAAAGGTTCACAAAGATACTGGTGCATTGCAAAATGGTTTCGCAGTCAACTGTACACACTTCTGACACAAACCTAATAAGAATAATAATCCTTGCATTTGATATAGTGCCTTATCACGTCATTGAGACGTCTCGATGCGCTTCACAGAGTAAACGGTAAAGTGAATTGATTGTATATTTTGTGGGCGAAACACGGCAGATTTTGCCCCGCCCGGTAATCAAACTTTCGAGGCGAGTGCTCTAACCATAACGGTTCAAGACTCACCTTCGAAGCCTGCTGTGCCTTTGCTGCTTCAACAAGAGCGCAAATTGGGGGTTGGGGAGGTGGGGGGGAAATCAATTACGCTGGTAATGAAGACATTTTCAGTAGATTCCTCTAAAGTATTCACTTCTAGAAATGAAGTGCAATAACGTTGAATGATGCGAGGGTCTTTCTATTTTAACAGAGACGTCTTTGCAGCAATGATGGGCTGAACAAGACACAGACACCTTCTATGGGCTACGTGTAAAGGTAAGATGCACACTAAAAAAAAGGTTAGAGAACAGATGGTTTTTGTTTTGCATTGATTCAGCCAGAGCAAAACTATTATAATTAATGATCCCATGGCTTCAGATTAGAGAATAATGCCAGAGTTTAATGCACAGCACGGATCAATTGAGCACCTGTCTCCCCGGACTGGCAATCGTGTCTGCGCGGAAAGGAAAATCAGTAGTACCGATGAATCATTTTTACTCAGCGCTTTAGGAATCTAAAACGCCAGCGTGGTTTTCTCAGTCAGCGTCGCCAGTCTCTACTTGACCAAAAAAGGCGCCAACTGACAAGTGAACTTGTTAGCTGCTTTGGTATTGACCGCTCCTGATCGGACGACACAGAGTTTCAGCCTTTCATCAGTTAACGTCAGCGAGGTTGACTGCCAAACAAAAGGCCCGAGTATGGCAGATACCTCTGTTTTGAGGCACTGGTTTGAGGAAAAGCAGGGAATTGGCCCATTAACCGATTCACAATGTCGCAAAGCACTTCACAGGGCTTACTGTGAAGTATAAGTGCGGCAGCCAATTTTGCAAAGAGTGATGATCCCACAAACATCCATGAAAAGAATGATCAGTTTTGTGTGGGAGGTCGGGGCCATGACACCAGGAGAAACTCTTTAACATGCGCCTGAGCAGGCAACGAGTCCTCAGTTTAATGTCTCATCTGAAGGCTCCCGACGTGAAAGGCGCTATACAAATGTAATCTTGTTGTTGTTGTTGTGGGACAGAAATGAACTGACTGATATAGTATTTTTATGTGCGAAGAGACTTGAATGATGTCTATTGAGACTTCTTTGGCCTGAAAATGAGTACCGCCTGCTCTGGTAAAGAAGGCCACTTCAATGCCATATATCAACAGCGAGCATTATATGCAGCGGTTTTATTAATGCCTGGAATTTCCTTCAAAGCACACCCGTGGCCAGATAGCCAAGCAGAAGAGCCACATTTGGTTAAATGTTACTCGAGAAAAGGGCACAATGTCGAGAAAAAAAATCCTGCTGATGAATATTGATCCCAGTGTGACAATATGTAAATGTCAAGCAACATAGATTGTTCTTATTTTCCTGTGATCAATCGTTCAAAGCCTTTGTACAGTCTCCCCTGTGGCTATTGTTTTTTTTACCACAGTTTACAGTTTTGAAAGATACATTCATAATTTACTGAGTGCATTGAGTACAGTTAACGCTTCCAGTACAATGTTCACATTAAATCAGTATTGAAGTTGTTTTCCGGGATAATAATAATATAATAATAGTCCTTGCATTTGATATACCGCCTTATTGCGTCTTCGAGACGTCTCAAAGTGCGTCACGGAATACACTGTAAAGTGAATTGACTATATATTTTGTGGCAGCCAATTGCGCGTAGCAGTAACCCACAAACAGTCGTGGATTGAGTGATCAATTTGTTGTTATTATCTTTTTTGAAGGGATTATTACCCATGAAAAAGCGATCCACCAATCGACTAACAACCAGGTTCCTACTACTGCTAGGTAAACAGAGGTATGCGGAGTAAGGAAACTTGCCCGGGAATCAAACCCAGGTCTCTCACGTGCGAGGCGAGCTGCAGAACTCCACGTGAAATAATGTGGATAATGTGGAACTCTCAACGCAACCTGTGTTCATAACAGCTAACAAGTAGTTAACTAATATTCCGTCTTGAGGAGCTTTTTAGTTAACTGGTAATTTAATAGAGAAAATGCCTATCGGAGATGTGCTTGTCAAGTGAACGTTTGGAGCTAATAACAAGTGGGATATTGATTTTTTACTTCTTTGTGAATCAGTGCCATCAACTTATTCAAACCATCACTCAAGTGCTCAGCCTGGTGTGCTGGAAACTAGTTAAAGATGGGTAATTGCAAAAGCGCAACCTCTTTAAAATCGGGAAATGTTGGCTTTAAATTCTAGGTCAAGGTAGTAAGTGCGGCATTAAGGAATTGTGTCACCCAAATCGTGTGTTTTATTTTTAGTGCTTTGAGCTGGTAAACTGCACAGTTACTCTTCCATTCTTCTTTGTGAGCCATTACTAAAATCATTCCTGCTCTGCTTTGGGAAGAATTTACACCATACAGATTCCCACTTAGGTACCGAGTAGGTATTGATCTAACTGCTCTTTAATCACATGCTGGTATCTCATTGTAAAATATATACCCGCCAACAAAGGAAATAATAAAGCAGGGTTGCAAAAATCTCCAGGTTTTCAGAATTCTGAGGGGATTTAAGTAAGAAGAAACCGTTTCCTCTGGTGGGTGGGTTGGTAACCAGAGGAAACAGTTTAAGATAATTGGTTAAAGAACCAGAGGGCAGACAAGGAGAATTTTTCTTATACTCCAACTCCTTCATCATCATAAGCATCTAAATCATAGCACAAAGGTAAGGAGAGGGGAATTTAAAAGACGTTGACCAAATGCACAGTCGTGGAGATATGTTTTTAAGAGAGGTATGAAGGCGAAGGCACAAGACAAAGAGGTTTTCACAGAGGTCCAGAGAGTATGGACTTAATATCCCGTCAGAAGAGAAGGAGAATGGGCAGAAGATTAGGGCTGGAGGAGAGTGTAGCAGTCAGAATCTTTACACTGCTCAGCTGTTGGAAGGCACTCCCTATCTGAATGGATTCAGATGCTTGTAAAGAATTCAAGCATGAACTGTTTGCAGTTTAGAGTTGGACCTGGATTGACAATCTGAAATGTACAATGTTCGGTATCCATGCGTGTGATGGCATCGTAGCAAAAGGAGGCTGTAAGACATCACTGGTTCAACATCAGAAAATAACCTATCTGTTATCAACTTAGCAACATATAGCCTGAGTTTTAATCCAGCTCACCGAGACACTGCCCTGAGTGAAGGGTGCTGTATAAATGCAAGGTTTTGTTGTTGTTTTCTAGATTGTCTCCGCATCACTTTGCTTAATTTCCTCGGTCCCTTGGCTAAGCTTCCTTACACTGGCGTATGTCAGCTTTGTGCAGTGGCAGCACTCTCGCCTCTGAGCCAGAAAGTTGTGGGTTCAAAACCCATTTTGGGACTTGAACTCGTACAGCGCTGAGGGTGCGTGCATTGTTGGAGGAACCGATCTTCGGATGAGAAGCTAAACCGAGGTCCGTCTGCCCATTCAGGTGGACTTTAAACTTCCCAAGACACTATTTGAGAGAAGAAAGGGGTTTCTCCCAGTGTCCTAGCATTTGGCCAGTCCCCCAAAATAAAATCGGTCGCTCTTTTCATGGTTGTTTGTGGGACATTATGGGAAATTGTGCTGCTGTGTTTGCCTACAAACTCACAGTCACTCCATTACACAGTAATACCCGTGAAGCGCTTGGAGATGCCCTTCCGGTGGCTTGAAATGGTTTATCGCCACTGTTAAATACAGGCGTTTTGCATGTAAAAAAAAAGTAGGTGGAATTAAAAATTGTTAACCACACTTGAATGGGAATTATCTATAGTGGCTTTGGCTTTCAGGGATTAAGGTGTACGAACACTGCCATGTATTGCTTTGGATTATTCCTGCCTTTTTACCAGGTGTGTCTCCACAGAGCCAAATCGGTGTCAGGAGTGTTGATCCGAATCAAACAAGAGGTCCATTTGATGTGAGCCTTCCAGAACATCTCCCTTACTCTACATCTGTTACAGTATCAACCTTGCATCCAGGTCCAGTCATGAATTGCCTCGTGTGTAAAGATATACTTCCCAGTGTTTGTCCAGAAAATGCCCTTTGCAGCCCTCAACCATGTTCTCTTGGCATATTTGCAGTTGGGAGACAATACATATAACGAGAATTTATGGGCAGGTATTTGCTTATTTAATTGGCTCAAAGAGCCTGCAGCAATATCAACTATACTGGTTGCAAACAAATATCGGTATCTCAAGGGGATATAGATGTTCCGGTTAAGTCTCCAGCTCTCAGCTGAATGACTGAGTTTTAAGCCTCTACCTAGCGCCTTATCACGTCTTCGAGGCATCTCAAAGCGCTTCACACAAACGACTGCAACGAAACTGGTGCAAAATGGATCAACGGAGAAATAAACTGAGGGATTAAAAAGTTTTAAAAAAAAGATCTACAAAGCTTGTAGGGAGAAAGGAGAGGGTGACCTTAAATACAAGCCTAATACAGAAAGAAGTTTTTCTTAAAAAATAATGGGGAAACAGAGAAAAATGGAAAGGGACGAGTGAAAAAAGTTTAGTTTCTCTATCTCTTTGAGTATAATAATGGTAATCCTCGCATTTGCTGCAGTAAGTTATTATGTCGCTGAGACATCTCAACGCACTTCGCAGAATGTATCGTAAAGTATATTGACCACGTATTTCGCAAGTATCTTCTACCCTTTTTTTAAAGCCCCTCTGAACCGTCTTCTTCCAGTCCTGAAGAGCCCTGATTTATCTGGTTGTTCCTTTCGATGCAGTGACTTGTTTTTTTTCCCCTCTGTTAGGACTGAAAGGTGAAATGAAGAAATACCTGAATCTGTGCACGGGTCAGAGAGGAGGGGGCCAGGACCCTGACGCACACAGACGCGCGTTGGTCAGGAAACCTGACGCGTACGGAACTTTTGCTGACGTTACATAAACAAACTGGAGTAACGTGCAACACCTACGTTTTCGGACTGCAACGTCAGAACAAAAAGTGCAATGGAAAGCAATGCTTTTTGAAGGAGGATGCCACGACCTCGCCATCAGGGAGTCAGAAATACCCAGAGTACTGATAGATTTCTCAATGCCACAGTCCCAGCCACTTTGCAAGGCGCTTCCCTCAATGCTGGGTGTTTATCAGTTGTTAGTGTCGGGTTGCGCCTCTGGAAATTTCAGGCCAGTTTTGGCCGATGCAAAGATTATTATTATTATTTTTGGGCAGAGGTCGAAACAAACTAGAGAAGATAATAATAATATATAATAATCCTTGCATTTGATATAGCGCTTTTCACGTCGGAAGGGCGTCCCAAAGCGCTTCACAGAACACACTGTAAAGTGAATTGACTGTATATTTGTGGGCGAACGCGGCAGCCAATTGCGCACAGCAATGTCCCACAAACAGTCGTAGATTGAAAATGACCAATTTATTATTGTTTTTGGTTTTGGAGGGATTATTATTAGGCTCTGTGTGGAGTATGGAAACTTGCCCAAGGTTTCGCCCTCTGCCTGGAATTGAACTCAGGTCTCTCGCTTGCAAAGCGAGTGCTCTAACCACTGAGCTACAGGACTCCACTAGATTATGTGTGTCAGCTTGGCTCAGTGTTACACTCTCACCTCTGAGTCAGAGGGTTGTGGGTTCAAGTCCCACGTCGGGATTTGGAATTCGTATGGTCGAGGCTGACACTCCAATGCAGGGCTGGGAGATGGCGGGGTGGCTGTTGGATTGTCAGAGGTGCCGTCCTTCGGATGAGGTTTAGACGTTAATCCGAGGTCCTGTCTGCCTGTTCAGGCGGATGTTGAACAACGACGACAATAATTTACATTTCTATAGCGCCCTTCACATGTGGTGGTGTCTCAGAACATGTGAAGTGGTTGGGCTGTTAAGAGCCACGTATTATTTAGACAAAAAAAAACTTCTAGAAAACCACAAAGGTATCAGTTCGATTCAATAGATATCGCTCTTGCCTCTGAGTCAGAAAGTTGGGGTTTCAGCCCCACTACAGGACTTGGAACTCACTGTCTGGGAGAACTCTATCTGGGAGATTGTTGGCCAGGACATAGGGAGAAAATCCCTTTGCTTTTTCAACACTGCCGTGGGATCTTTAATCTAAATCTGAACAGACAGACGGGACCTCGGTTTTGATGTCACATCTGAAGGACGGCACCTTGCAGCACACCCCCAGCACTGCACTGGAGAGTCGGGCCTTTATCTGATCTGAGTTCAACGTCCTGACGACGACGGGGTGGGGGGTGAATTTGAACCCGCAACATTCTGACTCCGAGACAAGAGTAATACCAACTGAGCCAAGCTGGCATCTTTCAGCACCGTATTTCAAAATAAAGAGAACAGTTTCGTTCCGATAGACGGGTGCACAGCATCGGAACTGTCAAGTGCGAACGAGAAAGGTTCCAACTGTTGAAAAGTGGTTTCAACGCTGAAAAGTGGGTAACTTCAAACCACTTAAAGCACTCAGCTAGACTCTGTACTTTTAAGACGTTCCTGTCCCCCTTGTTAAGACGTAACACACGCTGTTGCGTTCATTGTAACCGTAGCATCGCGGAAGAATGTGTGGGGTGGGAATGGTGGAGGGGAAAAAAATACAATTCTAAAGGAACCGAGACAATAATTCAAGAAATGATGAACAGCTGGTTACCTACCAGTTGAATAGACTCTTTCTTTCTCTCTTTCTGCTATCTTCCCTATCTGCTGATCTCCCCCGCACGCAAGCCCTGAAGCACGCACGCAGTTTCTCGTTTCGGGCGGCACTTCGACAAGCAATATTAGACATCATTTCAAGTCGGAAAAGCTCGTCGACGTGTTCGAATGTAAAGTAATAATAATAATAATAATAATCCTTGCATTTGATATAGCGCTTTTCACGTCGGGAGGACGTCCCAAAGCGCTTCACAGAACACACTGTAAAGTGAATTGACTGTGTATTTGTGGGCGAACGCGGCAGCCAATTGCGCACAGCAATGTCCCACAAACAGTCGTAGATTGAAAATGACCAATTTAATTATTGTTTTTGGTTTTTTTGGAGGGATTATTATTAGGCTCTGTGTGGAGTAAGGAAACTTGCCCAAGGTTTCGCCCTCTGCCTGGAATTGAACTCAGGTCTCTCACTTGCAAAGCGAGTGCTCTAACCACTGAGCTACAGGACTCCACTAACCGAAGTAACCAAAGTAACCGAAGGACTCGCCAGCTGTTCGGTTAATGTTTCGCGAGGGTTAATGTTCCATTTGGGATTCCCTTCCTCTCCCTCCTCCTTCTCCTCCCCCCTCCCTCACCCGTCCCCACCCCCCCGATCCTCAACTTGATAGGAAATAAAAACAGTGTTACACCCAGCACCTCACCACTTCCAGCTCAGTGTTAACACAAAAACTCTAGTAATAATCCTTGCATTTGATATAATACCTTTCATGTCAGGAGGGTAGTGATTGTGTATTTGTTGTCAAACCTGGCAGCAATGTTTGCGTACAGCAATGTCTGACAAACAGCCATGATGTGAATGACCTTTTCTCTTTTATTTTGTTGGCCAGGACACCGGGAGAAACCCTTTTTACAATGTAATATAAATGTATTACAGGCGAAAGATATATAATAATAAAAATACAGCACTTTATCAAGTCATCGACACGTCTCAAAGCGCTTAACAAGGTTTTACTGTGAAGTGTAGTGCAAATAGTAGGCAAATGCTTCATACAATTTGAGCCGAGCAATGTCCCAGAAACAGCTATGAAGTGAATAACCTATTTTTTTCTGGGGGATTGTTGACCAAGACGCTGGGGACAACTCCCTTCTCTCTTCGAATCGTGCCGCAGGATCTTTAACGGATGTCTTGAACAGGCACGTCTGAGGCTCAAATAGTTCAGATTTTGCTAAATGGCAATAATAAAAATAATATTAATAGTAACGATATTAATAATAATAGTGCTTTGCATTTTATATAGCACCTTATCATGTCATCGACACATCTCAAAGCGCTTCACAGCGTTTACCGTAGAAGTGTATCGACTGCGTATTTGCAGGAGAACAAGTAACCAGATGTAGAAAGTGCTTTGCCAATGAACTTCAGTTAAAAAAAAAGTCCAGATCTAGTAAATCTTTCACAGGGACACCGGTAGACTTAGTGTGACTGCCATTACCAGGTTGTTTAACGTTCACTCAGATTTGTGTGGAGTTTGCCATCTGACCTGTATGGGTTTTATATTGAGATAGTTTTTGTGAGGTCAGGCCATTATCTCACTTCTAATGTGGACTGGAAGGAGCATTCACTGTTAATTTATTATCTGCCTGAGAATTACTCACTGTGGTCTGCGGAGCAGTCTTTTACCTGATCTGGCCCATTTGTTCAGCACTTAATAAATGGCAGAGCCAGGGTCAAGGAGGTGCTGTGATTGATTACGGAGAATAGTTTCCCAGAGCAGCAAGATATGTCTCAGGACACGAGGAAGAATTAACCCTAAGTATGGCTGAGGGAAGCCACTTCTGTGTGTGTTAAACCGGCCTTGGCATCGCATCTCGGTCAGCTGCCTTCTGAATCAGTTTTCGGGGGATCTGAAGAACCGTCAGCGGCGTAAGAGAATGTCAAACGTTATCATAGAATCATAGAAATTTACAGCGCAGAAGGAAGCCATTCAGCCCGTAAAGTCTGCACCAGCTCTCAGAGCAAGGTGGTCATTCAATAGTACTGCCCTACCTTATCCCTATACTCCTTCATGCCCTGACACCTCCCTACCTCTCCGACCTGCTTACTCCCCAACCCACTATCCGCTGCCTCCTCTTGACTCTCTTCCTCTATCCCTCCGCCTTGCCCCTTCCTTCAGCTCGCGCCCGGAGACCTTCCTATTCGCCCGTGCCTACGGTCACCTACTCTCCACCCCCCACCCCCCCGCCCGCCCCCCCCAGCTCAGCAACAACAGCTGTTGTTCTATCTGTTCATATAGGTTAGTTCCTTCTGTGTTGACCAAGGGTGCACTTCCAATGGAAACATCTGATCCTTCCCTTTTTGTAGGTCAAAAGAGGTGGATGATAACCCATGGGGTGAAAATTGTGATGTGATGTGATGATTAGAACAACCGAGAAACTTGGTCAATGTTTGATGTGACACCTCACCTCTGCTTTGCTGCAATTACTAGGTCCAGAGCAGCCTGAAGTTCACCATCAATAGTGTTCCCAGCCATAAGTAACCATAGGTGTGGTTGAGAGGTAGGTATCTAGGTGAGATTTATAATAATAATCCTTGCATTCGACATAGCGCCTTGTCAAGTCTTCAAGACATCTCAAAGCGCTTCACAGAATATTCTTAGAGACAGGGAGTTTTTAAGAGGTTAGCGATGTTGTGGCAGAAAGTTTGGCCTTCAGTGGTGGCTGGAACTGTTGTGGGTGTACAATGATATACCATATTAGCTGAGTGAAGTCACCAAAAGAGGACTAGGGTACGATATGATCCGAAATAGGGAGGTGCTATGGTTGAAGGGATTTATAGACGAGGGTGAGGATCTGGAAGTGGAACCTCTGGGAACCAGGGAGTCAGCGGAGAATTGGGGTGCCGCGAAATTTGATGTAGGTGACTGGCGGTGGAGTTCTGGATTAGCTGGATCTTGTGAATGGTGGATACCTGGGAAGATCGTCAAGAAGTCGTTGGTAGGAAGTTAATGAAGCCTGTACACAGAGGGAATTATACGTATCTTTTAGTTATGCAATTAAGCAACAACAATTTAATGAGTCCCTCTGACTCACTCGCTCCCTGAACTCGTTAAAGGACCGACTCAAGACTTATGTCTTTGACCGGACTTTCGGTCGTCTTTTCCCTCCTTCTCCCCCTCAATTCCCACGCCCGGCTCAGGTGCCAAGACAG